CGATTTTCGCGGATTAGTCGCGGATTTGAATTTTCAGTCGCGAAAATCGCGGAAACATTAAATGATGTCGTGAAAATCGCGAAGGAACTGATGTGCTGTCACAAAAATTTGTGGAATTCATTGCAATCTTTCCGTCCCGGATTATTTTGCTGTCATCAATTTTGTTGTTCATTTGGCTCTTTATTTTTTACCGGTTCAAACCAAACACCCTGCAAATAATCGAGAAATGATCTCAATTCCATAAGTCACATCGGATTTACATGGAAATTCCCTGAGGTCTGTCCAATGTGAGACCTTTTCCTTTTTTCCAATATGAACATATAATTTTTCGTTGTCAAATCATAAACGAATCGTATATATGTGAGTAATATGTATAGCGGATATTCTAGGTTCTCCAAATCGTCTTTAAGTTCAGTTGATTTGTTCTACTATATCAACCAAGACCCCAATAATGTCTGTAGTATCGAAATATATCCAAACAGATTCAAAGTGTCTATGCGGATTGTACCCGACCTATTGCTAAGTATACAAGATGTTATAGGTTCTGAAATCATTCTGAGAATCAGATTATTTTTCTACTAGATCACCCAAGACTAATTCAATATCTGTAGTATCGAAATATGCCCAAACAAATTGGCAGTATCTATGTGGATCATGCCAACCTATTTCCGTGTATGCCAAATGTTGTAGGATACTACAGATATTATCCTAGTCTTTGTTGATCTAGTTAAACAAATCATCTGAACTGCAGGACATTAACATTATCCATATAGACACTATGAATCTGTTTGGACATATTTCGATACTACATACTTTATCCCAGTCATGGTTGATCTAGTAGAATAAATCATCTGAACTCCAGAACGATTTGGAGAACCTAAAACATCTGGTATACATGACATTAGTTCATGCGTGATCCACATAGACACTGTGCATTTGTCTGGAAATATTTCGATACTAAAGACGTTGTCCCAATCACGGTTGATCTAGTAGATCAAATTATCTGAACTCCAGGACGATTTGAAGAACCTACAACATCTGGATTACTCGGAAATAGATCATGCATGATCCACATAGACACTTTGAATCTGATTGGACATGTTTCGATACTACACACATTATTGCAGTCTTGGTTGATCTAGTAGAACAAATCAACTGATGTCCTGGACGATTTGGAAAACCTATAATTTGCGGTATACATAGTAATAAGTCGTGCATGATCCATAAAGTCACACGATTCGGTTATTATTTGACAACAAAAAGTGCTAGGTTCACATTAGAAATAAAAAAAATCATGAAAATGTCTCACCATTGGACAGAACCCAAGGAATATCCGTGTAAATACACAACCGTGACGTGACCAACAAGTGTGACTTATGAAACTCTGGTAATTTCTCGATTATGTGCAGGGTATTTGGTTTGAATCGGTACAAAATTGAGAAAACTAGAGCCAAATTAACTACAACATTTAGGACAGTAAAATACGTCAGAGACGCAAAGGTTAAATTTAAAAAAATTGCATTGCAAATGAAAATGCATTTTTTTTAAATAATGTTTCATCAAATCTAGGCCGGTATTATTCAATGGAATCTCATAATGTAAGGGTGTTTTATTATGTTCACTAATTACTCAGAATTTATACTATACATAAATAACTGAAGATGATAAAAGCTATTTAAAAAAATCAAAGGTTACAAACGATACTCTTTTAGCTCAGTCGGTAAAGGCGCAGCTACAAAGCAAGTCCATGCTTGCTGAGTTCGATTCCCGTCCGGTCTATAAATTTTTCGGATTGGAAAATTTCTCTACTTTCTTTGGCATAGGATGGTACAGGCATAGAAAGCTCTCAATTAAAATGTGAAAGTACTTCAAAGAACACTAAGTTGAGAGCAGACAAAAATCTAATATGCTCTATATAAGCAATAGGCTTGAAATGCCATGTAGTAGTATATAAATGCTATTTTTAGACAATGAAAACAGTTTTTTTTTTGTCGCGGATTAGTCACCCCTATTCTGTATTTCGTTTCGAACGAAATTCTCATACAAAAAATTTTTTTTTTGTGCGAGAATTTCGTTCGAAACGAAATACAGAATAGGGGTGAGTATTTGAAGTCGCGGATTTCTTTTGAGAAATCGCGGATTTCGCGGATCAAATTTAGAAAATCTTGTAACAGCCCTGCAACCGTGTAAAGAAGACTTGACTATACACAGAAGAACAAGAACAAAACTAATATAACAACAAAATACAGAAGACGCTTTAACCAACAATCAATACGAAACTAAAGATTTTAAATTGGCTCACTACTTGACTAGCCTATTGGTCCCAAGCAAACGATAAACGTAACCCTTTCTAGTGGAAATTCTAGTACTACGCAATGTTTGTTTTGATTCGCTATGAAAGTTTGACAGATAAAATGAGGGGTTAGTGGATTTTCCTATGTTTCGAGGGGTGAATTGATTAGCTTGGGACCGAAGATAGTACCAGAGCTGAGCCAAAAAGTTGAGCTCGTTTCTTCGGGACCTTCTGGTCTTAGAGTTACCTCTATGCTCTAACTATGATACGTACACTTGGGCAACACAAAAACAAAAACAGATCTAAAGACGAAACACCACCAGGAACGAGAGAAATCTGACAGATCAAGCAAAAAAGTGAGCCATTGACGAGTGCACGGATGGATTTGAGTTCACTCACTCGACAAAAAGTGACACAACAGCGGGGCCCTGTTTACTAAAAATGAACACATGGGTAATACTCACGTAACATTTGAAACGGGTCTATCAACTTATGTACACAAAACTTGTTAAGTCTTTTTCGCGCGAACCGAATACGCTCACGTTAACTAACAACACCATCGTGCAGAGGAAATGCTCCCCTTCCCGATAGTGCTCTTGGTTTGCGTGGGCGTACTTCGGTTCTCGTGAAAAGGACCTAGCAAATTATTTACAAAAGTTGATAGGCCCTTTTCAAATGTTACGTGAGCATTATTCATGTGTTCATTTTTAGTAAACAGGGCCCCGCTGTTGTGTCACTTTTTGTCGAGTGAGTGAACTCAAATCCATCCGTGCACTCGTCAATTGGCGGAAGAGCCTACTGCTAATTGTCCGGGTCACGATTCTATGGACCCTATTCTGTAAGTCAAGTCGAGCGTCACTGGACGAGTGCACCGATGAATTTATTAATTCACTCGAAAAAAAAGTGACACAAGCTGCGGGCAATGTTTAATAATCATGAACACTAAATGTTCATTATTCATTATTCATGAACATATAGTGTTCATGATTAGTATACATTGCCCGCAGCTTGTGTCACTTTTTCTCGAGGGAGTGAGTTCAAATCCATCGGTGCACTCGTCCATAGGGCCCTATTTGAAGCTATCCAAGTTGAATAAAAAAATAATTCTAGATAGAGCTGGAATTGGGGCATAACAGCTTTTGTAAACAATGGCTTCTCTCGATGATTTTTCGAAAGACATTACTCTCCCTGGCAAATCAACATTACTGGACTTCCCCTACCCGATGGATATGTTGATTTGTGTAGGCGTGCCTTGAGTTGCTAGAAATCAACGAGAGACGTCATTGTTTACAAAAGCTATTACGCCCTAAATCTAAAGCCCTACAGTAAAAGTATGGACGTCTGTCAAAAGTTGTTCCAATCGAACCGTCAAAATGCACCGCTTTGCTCGATTGGAACAGCTTTTTTTCAGTTTTGTGGTGACAGTCGTCCATACTTTTACTGTAGGGCTTTACCTAAATCTTGTTCTATCTAGAATTATCATTTAAAATTTGCTTCTGTAAAAATTGCACTTTATAAGCTGGATCGATCGAAATAAAATAAATTCATCGCTTCAGCATATGGAGATGGAATTCTATCGAAATCATGAGGGCAACTATCAGCTAGTTTGCGTTTCCATCCAAAACAAGCTTAAACCACAAAGAACATGTTCTAAAATTTAAATAAATCTTCAGAAAGTCAATACTAAATGTAGGCAATATTGGATTAGCAATCTTTGAGTTTTTTTTTAAATACAAATTACGGTCTAACTCTATCTATTTGAACAATGTCTCGCCCTAATATTTGTTCAAGCTATGCATGAAAAAAAAAATCCTAAAATCAACACTCGTCGTTTACTTCTTTCCGCGCCATGACCGATCAACAAAGCATTGTTTATTTAACACCTGATCCGGAGATTCCCATCATAAAAAAACACACACACATCTCCCTCCATCCGGAGAAGACCAGTCTCTTTATTCCACCATGAGATGACCAAGCAAAAATCAAACCAAATTTATCTTATCGTACTCGTAGGGCCATTCCTGGGTCAGGTCGGTCCTCTGTGCCATCGCCGGTTCGGCATCCCGTGCTCTCAGACAGCAAACGACCGGATCGTGAATCTCGAAGTAGCACAGCTCCCGGTGGACGTTGAAGTTCGGCTGATAGAACACCCTCAACGGGAAGGTGTTACACTCGCGGACACGCATACAGAACCCGGTCCTGGGCTCTCGATCACCCGGGTACTGAATTTGGCATGGGTCACCCAGGCCCTTCTCGTTCAAGATGGGAAAGACAATGTCCCGATCGGGAATGGGGTCCTTCCGAGCAGCAGTTACGAAGAAAATACACAGCAGCAAAGCGACAATCGAGGCGGATGGATTCATCTTGAGCTCTTAACTGAGTCGAAACTGGCGACAGACTGCTGCTACTCGGTGGTGCTTTTGGACAGCAAAAAACATGAGAGATGAAACTTTGAAACGAATGAATACCGTATCGTGGGGATAAGATGGAATTGAGATTAGATAACATAATATGAGAAATTTAATTCTTTATACATCTGCAGCTGAATTTCGGCCATTTCAAAGAAGAAAAAAATTTTTCTACATATACCTAATACGTAGAAACTTATTTGTCTTCGATTAAATTTATGCTCGGAATTCAGCTACTGGTATCCATTTCCAAAGCAAACACCGGAGTCCAATCCTCACCCGTGGACGGTACCCGGGTAAAACAGGTTTAACCTGCCGCTCGGAACGGGTTTTTCCCGATTGGCATGGGAATTTTCATCACTACACAAAACACGTTCTTCCCATTAACCGACCAACACGACTCTTCGCCGTGTCGATTGTCGCTACGTCTCCATTAGATGAGCAACAAATGGCACAAATGGTCGGTTTCCTTTATTATTAACGATGTGAACCTATTTAACATTTTGCGCTATCAGCAGTAGCTCCGCTCAGACACCCCAAACGATCGATTCAATCCATGGAATAAAGGCTCCGACACGCGTGTAGACGGCCGGTACCGAACCACCACAAAAGCTACCGTACGAGGTGATGGCCACCACGTGGAATAGACAGTCGTTTTCGGCGTCACGGATCTGCAACGGCCCACCGGAATCGCCTTGGCAAGTGTCCCGACCACCGTCATCATACCCGACGCACATCTGGCTATCGATGATCCCCCGTGCCCCTCTACTTCTGTAAAAGTTCATGCACGTTGTCTGATCGTACTGATTCAGGACCACTTTTAGCAAGATGTTGGAACTCATACCGTCTGCAAAATGGAAAGTATGTATCATTGTAATCTCTAACTCTAACTCATTCTAACTTACAACTCTCCACAGCTCCGTACCCAATGGCCGTCAGCTTTTGCTCATCTACGACCGCCGATTGGTACAGACAAGCCGGCCTGATCTTCGTACTGAACTTAACCGTACCGGCCAGCTTCAGCAGTGCGATGTCGTTGTGCTTGGACTTGGCCGAATACTTCGGATGTCTGATAGCCATCTCAATAGCAAAATCTTTCGGAAACGCTCCATCCGCATCGGACATCAAATTCAAATCCCCCAGCCGAACGATCTGCAGTTCCTGAGTGAAGCAGTGTGTCGCAGTCATCACGAACCGATCACTGATCAACGTACCACCGCACTTGAACTCGAGCGGTTCGTCCGGTGCGCTCCGGTAACCGAGGGCGGCCATGTGCGGGAACTCACCGAGCTTAGCCGCCTCTCCACCCACGATCAGTTTGTTATCGGTGGAGCACGTCTTACCGCGCTTCTGGATCACTTCGGCGTTCGGTTTCAACGAGCTGAGGTACACGGTGGGTGTGGCCTCGCGCAGGTACTCCTTGCATTCTACGGATCAAAATTTAAGAACATGAATCTCACGATCTAATTGCACTTTCAAGCTGCGATACCTACTTCTGGCGCTGACGCTCAGATCGGCGTTCTCTTGCGCAAGTTGCTGCAGTTGGGTTCGGTAATCCGGTGGGCAGCAAACGACGGCTTCCCGCGAGTTGAAGGTGCAAATGTTGATTCGGCCTCCCAGGGATTCCAGCAGTGGACGGCACTCGCTATAACTGACGCAAATTCCAGTGCCACGGCGGAAGCGGCACGAGTCGCCCTCTGATGGAATGGAAACAACAATTCGGGTATTAGTAACAGCATGTAATAAAAATAACTGACCAAAGAAATTATTTAAAAATTAGATGAAGACTACGAGGTAAAGATAATGCATTGGGACATTTGACATTTAAATGATCTTTATTTCTTGTATTTGTTTGGTTTACATGTAAGGATTATCAAGTGACACAGATGCGTCTTTTCAACTTTAGTACGTTTGAAATTTTAATTATTATTTACAGTTCCTAGTCCTATCAGGCCTGTTATTAGAGTATGACCACCTTGGTGGGATTGGTTTGTTTTGAATTTGAAAAAGGAGACTACTTATAACTACTATTTACAACTACATTTAACCTGTAACTACTATATACACCTAACCTACTATATACAAATTGCTTATGAAAGCATGTTCTGATGTATCACATTTCTGCATAAACCTAGTCTTAATGTCATCAATTTTGAAATCTAATTTTGGAATGTTCGCCTATTGGTGGAGGTCTGAAATTCTTGTTTCAAAGGGACGATCAAGGATCATCCTAAGCACTCTGTTCTGAGCAACCTGGATTTTGTTCCTGTGAGTCTGAGCACATGATTCCCACACCGGAGCTGCGTAGAGGATCGCAGGTGCTATGATTTGTTTGTAGACAGCCAGTTTGTTCACCCTTGAGAGGCGGGATCTGCGGCAAATCTATTGCAGCAGCATCTATTGAAGATAGCAGTCAAAAGCGAGTACACTTTCGTGCTCAGCTTCTTCAATACCAAGTTGAATATTCCGTCAAACCCGGGGGCCTTCATGTTTTTGGTGCATTTCAGCGCTGAGCAAATCTGTTCCACTGTGATTCTATCCTCCGGAGGGATGGCACAAGGGGAGGAATCAAGGTTGAGTACGCATTGCTCAACCTGAACTTCGACCGGACTTTGGATGTTGGAGCCAAGCAAGTGCGATTTGGCAATATGCTCACCAATCGCATTTGCTTTCTCCTGAGGGGTGATTATGAGCCGATCGTCATCATTTTCATCTTTAAGTTGAGGAATGGGTTTGGGGTGCGTCTTTAGGACCTTGGCAACCTTCCAGAATGATCTGGAGCGGTCGTCCAGATTCTGGATGAGCCGCCCGAAACTTTCGTTCCTGAGTGAGACCATTCTGGAAGCAATCTCCTTGTTAAGATCGGCCATTTCACGTTTCCATTATGACAAGCCGGTATTTGTAAGAAACAGGTCTAGCGTCGATGGGTTGCCTGCCGGTGAGATGAATGTTGGCTCGTCCGAGAACCAAACGGAGTACAGCCCATGCTGCGAATGGTCGAACAGCAGATGACCGTTCTGGTTCTGCTGGTAGTTCCGCCAGGCCTCATGGCGAGCATTCAGATCTCCTCCAACAACGAAGCGGGAACCGCTACGGGTGATGGCGGCCAGGTCTTTCTTGAATTTAGCCGCTAGTCCGCTGCTGGCGGCATACTGTCGAGGGCAGTAGACGGCGATGAACTGGACGTATCCAGTCACCGATTCCACCTCCTTATCCCTTTTCTGACCATGATCGCAACACCCCCCCCCCCCCCTGGAGCTGGTACGATCAAGTAGAATGATGTTGTGGTCCGGTAACCAGCAACTGTCGCCGGACTTGAGGTGGGTCTCGGTAAGGAGGCCCACGTCCATGGTATGCTTGCGGAGGAAGTTCGCAAGCTCGATGGTTTTTGCTCTTAAGGAGCAAGCGTTCCATGTGACTATGCTTAGTGGTCTGGAACAACAGGCAGCTTGCTGGTGTTAGCGTTAGCTTTAGCGTTAGCGTTAGCGTTGTTATGATATACTTCGTAGATTGGATACTAGCGACACTCACGTCTCTTCTGAAATTCTCAGTTAGACTACTTTCAGGAATAATGCTGAGGAGTAAACATTGGTTCCAATCTAAACAAGAGTAACAGAAGCATGACTGTCGCTATTCCCGGCCACGCCCATCTTTACCATAACTAGGGATAGGGAAGGAAATGTTGATGTAGTACTTACTTAACGAGAGGCCACCGACTTAGCGACACCCTCATAAGTGCTACGGAGTTGGAGGGTTGAGTAGGGTATTCGGTTAGGATTCACCTCAAGTTGGCGATGCAACCAAAAGTATGTATTGTTTATTTGTTGTTTATTTAATCTCTCGATAGCCGGCTATCGAAAGAACATATTAATTTTGTTTAGTGATAATGAATTTTAAGAGTCATGACGGAGAGCTTGGGATTAAACCCATGATTTTCTGCTCAGTAAACAAAAACGATCCCTCCAGGGTCATCGAGCATCTCAGAACCATAACGCTTCTCGACAATACAGGACTACGTTTTCGCTTGATATGCAAATAGTTTCCGAGGTTAATAATACAAATGATGGTGGCGATTTATTGTGCTGTGGAAGAGCTTGGGGTTAAATCCATGATTTTCTGCTCAGTAAGCAAAATCGATCCCTCGAGGGTCATCGAGCATCTTATAATCCACAGCGCTTCGCGTCATTGTACAAATATATGGATGAACTAACTATTATTGAATAACTATTATTTACCATAATTACATGAAAGAAATAAAATATAAACTACAAACAAAACGTGACTACTAAATCTCAAAAAGATATTCTCACAAATGTATTTCACGCAACCAGGAATCTCAAAACCATTAGACGCTATAATGATACTCTGCACATGTTAGACACAAAAAGAGGCCAAAAAGCAAGCGTCCAACACACAAAACCCGCCAAATCCACTTGCAGTCACAATCAACGATTCTACGAATCACGAGCGCTCACGAATCATAAAACCGCTGACTGCGACACTCTGAAAGCGAAATTGATAAGCTCTATGCGTCAAACACCCGCCCTTCAATCCCCTCCCGCATCCATTAACACAAATCTCCATTACAACATCTAACGAATTCAAAACTCTGAAAATCACTCATCTATAGCAAGTGAGTGGAAGCAACCCTGCATGCAACCATTCTTCACTTTTTCTGCCTATCTTTCTATTAGGCCTGTGGACATGCGTTAGCTTCGAAACTTCTAACCAAACTGGGAAAATTTTCAGATCACAAAAAAAAAAAAAAAACTTGAAAAAAACTTTCAAAGGTAATAACAAATAAAATAAATATTGATTATTTTACGCAAAAACGAGCAAGTAATATTATGCTAATGCTAATTGACTGTAACAAAAATAATTTGCTTAAAAAATAAAATATTATTAAAATTATGTGCAAAATTTACTAGAAGATCATTACTTTATTGGTGAGAATTTTGTAATAAGCCCTCCCAGTTCCTCTGTATACAGAACAAATCTGATATTATAATCAGAATTGCTCAGTCTGCATGAAGCAGCCGATTTCATCAAGAAAGTTCTATTAACAACCAAGAATTAATCGTTTGAGGCATACTGAAGCATTAAGAAGGTGATATGTGTCACTATAGGAAATCATCATCGTTGCAAATATAAAAAAATTAAACATAGCCCTTTGCTTCAGTACCGTCAACCTCCATGTCCATGGGGAGGGAGTACCCTTGAATGTTGGAATTCTAGCCTCCAAAAATAATCATCGTTGTAAGAAATTTTGTAAGTACTTAATTCTAAGATTTTATTTTATTTATTGATATTATTGTTTAAGAAACTTGAAGATTTAAAGTACAAAATATCAACTAAGGTTGCGAAGTGGGATGTATTTTTGAAGCAACTGGTGTTATCGGTAAAAATACCAATGAATATGGAAAATGAATATTCCACTTCCGGATGCTACCAATAACGCCTCCAACAATATGCCTCCAAGGAACTCAAGGAACAATGTTAAACACCATTTTTGAACATGGTATTGTAACTAATCTTATAGGTATATGCTACATTTTGGTTTGGGATAAGTGTTTGAACTATGGCTCGGGATTTCCACTGTGACGTTCTTCTATTGTGACATACCCATACGTATTTTTGTGGAGCAACATAGTGGAAACGTGTGAGCGTAGTTGAAGCATATACCCTATATAATTTAAAAATCAGCTAGAAAACTAACTTCAAAGTGAAGCATTTTAGTCACTTGAGGGCGTCACCTGGGACAAACTGATATATAATAAGTATAGGTCAAAGTCAAAAACAACTTAAGACACGTTAAATTTTGGATAGCATGCACAAGTGCAGGTGCTTAATGAAGCATGTGTTATGGTTGATTGGGTGGATTTGAGATTTCAATTATTTATTAAATTAGGCTAATGAGATATCATAATCATCAAACGAAAATTTAGACAGCCTAATGACATTAAGTAGATTGAAAAAGGAGTTGGGATGCGGGGGTCCGCTTAGGGAGGCAACTAGCCTATTGTCTGTTTATTTTGATGGTTGCTTTAAAAATATCAATATGGTATACAGTCAAGATTCCTATAGTACGGTTAATAGGGACCGCACTATAGGAACCGGCATTAACGAATACACGTAGCATATGGGATTAGAGCTAATTGGGGACAAACTCTTATTGTAGGGTAATTTGAAGAGATAACTTCCTGGTGTCTTCTGAAAAGTTATTAAACAGAATATTTGCCACCTTTTGGGAACATTTAGCATCCGGAACGTCAAGAGCCTGATCCTCCGGAACACCCGGAACATCCGTAAAAGTGGTCAATTCATGAAACTAATCCTAGAGCTCCGCGGTTTTTTCGAAACCGCTCATAGACGTCTTATCAGAATGAATTCGGAGTTGTGACCTGAATATGAACCCAGAGGACCACGGGATGGTCCACCGGAAGATCCGGAACATCCGTAAAAGTGGTCAATTCATAAATCTGATCCTAGAGCTCCGCGGTTTTTTCGAAACCACTCCTAGACATCTTATCAGAATGAATTCGAAGTTGTGACTGGAATATGGACACTGGAGACCACGGGATGGTCTACCGGAAGATCCGGAACATCCGTAAAAGTGGTCAATTCATGAATCTGATCCTAGAGCTCAGCGGATTTTTCGAAATCACTCTTAGACATGTTATCAGAATGAATTTGAAAT